CCCCCGGGCCAGCCCCCCGCTCACCATGGCCATGCTGGAGAGCTGGACAGCGGGGCGGCCCGGGGGCACCAGCGAGATGTTGAGGAAGGCAGAGACGGAGACAGAGGTGCCTGAGGGGTTGATGATGCAGCGTGGGGGAGCCGACACCTGCAGCACCAGCCGCAGGGGAGCATCCACAGCGGGGCTCTGGGGAGGGCAGGTCAGCCAGAGGCACAGAGCTGGGCAGGGCTGTGCTCTGCCCCAGGGGCTCCCCTCTGCCGCCTGCCCCGGCTGGCTGCTCCTCTCACCAGCATGAAGATGGTCCCAAAGAAGGTGGCTCTCAGCAAAACCTCCAGGTCCTTGGGCACCTGCAGGGAAGACAAACCTCCGTGGGTAAGCGAGCAGTTGCTGTTGATCCCAGCAGAGCTGCTCCCTGGCTGGCACCTCCGCTGCTCGGCGGGCAGAGCCCAGCCCTCCCTCCTGCCTGGCGGCAGGCCCCTGCCTGCGCACAGCCGGGCGGCCCGGCGCTGCTTACCTTCTCCCCCTCGAGCTCTATGGCCAGCACACCCGCCTGGAAGTACGCGTGCATGGCCGAGTCAAAGAAGTACTCAGAGAAGGCGACATAGACCATGCGCTCGGTCTCCTTGATCACCGGCTCCACCGCATGGTTCTCCAGCTCCTGATTCTCTCTTGCACGGGGGAAGAACATGCCCTGGGCCAAGAACGGGAGATGTTTCTGCAGCTGTAGCACAGCCCACCCTGCTCGCTCCATGGTGCCCAGGGTGCAGGCTGGCACAGCCACTCCCACGGGGACTGTGAGAGGGTCGGCGGGGCAGGATCCAGCGATCACCTTGAAGTCTAGGTCGAGGGTGTCCGTGGAGACGGACGGATCCCGCAGGAGGGAGTAGTCGATCCCGATGTGCTCATCCACATCGTTCCTCACTGCCAGGGAAGATGTGCCGTCATGCCCAGCTCTGCCCTCCCCACGGCGAGTGGGGCATGGCCCCTTCCCCCAGGGCAACGCTCACCCGGCACAGTGTCCAGCACGGAGTTCAGCAGCACCAGGCTGGCGTGCTCCAGGGACGGGCAGATCTGAAAGGCAAGGGACTGGGTTCAGAGGGGAATCGCTCCAGGCGTGGATGAGGACCCAGACCCTCCTCCTGCTGCGGGGCAGGGCAAGGCCAGGCTCCCCGGGGCTCCATCGCCTGTCCCCACTCAGCTGTACCTGCTGGCTGAGGAGGAAGCGCATCCCTGTGACGATGAAGGTGCTCAGGAACTCGTAGACCTTTCTGCAGGACACAACAGCAGCTCTGTGGCTGGCTGCCTTCCCCTGCGGCTCCAGCCCTGCCCCGCCAGCCCCATGCAGGCGCACAGCTTGGGCTGGGGAAGTCCCGAGGGTGCAGGAAGGGCGGCCAGGGAGCCGAGCGCAGGCGGGGCTGGCCCGGTGAAGGGATAGGGCTGCTGCCGTGCGGTTTGGGTGTACCTGAGCGTGCCAGAGAAGCCTGCGTGCATTCTGGCAATGGAGGCGTTGCAGGTGATGTTAGAGATCTTCAGGCGCCCAGCCTTGTCCTTGGCCAGCTGCAGCACTGTGTGGATGTGAACGCCATCCGCAGAGGCGTTGATGGACCCGATGTCATAGCTGGAAGCGAGGACAGCAGATGAGAGGAGCACACAGCTCCTGCCAGCTGCAGGGCAGGGCAGCGAGGCACCCGTGGCACCCAGCGGGCATGGCCAAGCAGCGGCTGTGGCCCAGCTGTGGGGCAAGGCTGGAGCCTAGGGCGGCAGGAGGGGGAGGTAGCTCACAAGAACCAGTAGAGCAGCTGCCTCCGGAAGCGCAGGCTGATGGAGGCATTGTTGATGTTGAAGACGAGGTGCTGCTGAGGCTGGAAGTACAGGTCAGATAATGCCAGCTGCAGGTCCATCACCTTGACCCTGCAGAGAAGGGGACAGAGGTGGTCAGACAGACAAGACGGATGCAGGGAGCCGCATGTGCGGGGAGTGGGCAGCACTCACTGGCTGATGTTGTAGTGGAACTGCCCCTCCTTTCCGTGCAGGTCCGACACCGTGATGTTCTGCAGCTCCTGCTCCACGAAGCGCAGCCCCTCCTGCTTCACTGCAAAGCAAAGTGAGCCTGGGCTGGCTACAGCCGGGCTGTGCCGCCCTCCCGGCAGCATCGCCCCCCGGCCCCCCCCCCGGCTCCTCTCCAGCCACCCCACGTGTGGGCAGAGCCTTACCCAGGTGCAGACCCTAGGAGCAGTGTCCCAACCCGCCTCTTACCGAGGCCCCGGGAGCAGGGTCCCGTCCGGCCCCTTACCCAGGTCCAGCCCCTTGGAGGTGATCCGGATCTTGCAGCCAGGTGGGCTGTGCGAGGCCGTGACCAGCCAGGGCAGGAGGAGGAGGAGGAGGAGGCGGCGGCAGCTGCCGGCAGCCATCTCGCACCTGGAAGCAGAGAGCAGGGTCAGCAGGGGCTGGCCCCAGGGGGCACACGGGGGACACCCGGCC